ATAGAACGGCCTTTGGCCAAAGTCCTACATAGCCAACGGCTGATACAGGACTATAATGGAATAATAATAATAATGCTGTCGGGTACACCATGCATATGATGGTATGCAGCAACCCAGCGAGGCTGTTCTTATTATGCTCTTGTCATATGAGCTAGGTTCATACAGCTATTGTGTTTGGGACTTGTGTATAGAATCTGTCAAGATTCTATGCTACAGAATCCTGCCCGTCCTCATCAGCAACAATGATGTGCCAATGCGGGCATTAGGACACGATGTTCTTTGTCTCATATCGCTTGGTGGATTTTCTAGCGAAGCGGAATGCCATTGTGGGAGGGTGAATGATGTCTGGTCAATGGAAAGTGTGTGCAAAGCGTGTTGTGATGACAATTGGTCTGGCGGGGATCAATTCCATCGTCTCCAGTGGCTGATGTGTAAAGCACTACTTCCTTCGAAGGCTGTTGAGTGTGTGCGAAGATACGTCGGCTTTAAGGAGGGGTGGGTTGAAAGTTATAAACGGGATTTTCGTCAAGAATCGTCCAAGTCACCACTCAACTTTCGGTATAATATGGCGAAGGGCGAGAATGGTTTTTAGAATGGCCTCAAGCAAGCCTTCTGGGATTTACTGTGTATATAACATCAACGTAGGAATCACCGAAAGTAATGCCTGTGTAGTGCGTGTAACAACGTGCAACACAGCGGCTGGTAAATTCCATCCTTGGAGCCGAACAAACAGTACACTCGAGTTAGTGCCACCAGGAACTACATAACATAATCGAATGTCGGAAAAGAGCAGTTTCTCTATGCATGAAAAACTATAGTCCCTCAAAGTCACCTTCCCAGCCTAGATTTCTAGAGTACGATGCAAAGCATGTTACACAAGAACGTTGTACTATTCCCAACACGCATTCACAACACGCTAAACGAGCTAAAACTAGAACCCATTAGTAACTACTCATTAAGTTCTTACTACCATGATATGCAGCCCCGTCCATGGCGTTACTTAGACCTACAAATTTACCAACGAAAGTACCTGTTACAATCCAAGGCAAGCTGCTTACAAGTAATCAGCTTGGAGGATCCCAAGGGATGGACTGCGCCGCAATTCTTCAACCACGCCGCAGTCACGTGACCGATCATACACGATCAGATGCATCCAGCCAATCAGGGCACGATCGTCAACGATAACTTTATTGATCGTACAGCGTCACTTATCTCCTTAGTATATAGTGTAGGCATTGAGCCCTTATGGCTCGATGTGTTCAACTTAAGTTTTGAGTACAAGTACAATACAGAAAGTTATTCTACTTGCACTTTACTGTCCTATATTGCACCCTGCCGCTCTATCTGCGAAAACCAACCAACAAGAAGCTNGACACCAGAAGTCTTATATTGCCTCCACTCGGGCTATACTCGTAAAAGTAACGTCCCTTCAAAAACTACGGTTTGATAGCGTGGTTAACCAACGTGCCGTTACGGGATCTGTCCAAGCATGAACTGCAAGGGCCGAAGCCAGCAAGCGGCTGAGCGTGGCGAGTGCTCGACATTCCCGCCTCATTTGGTCGGGACCGTTGCGTAGCCGACGGCGGCTAGATGCACATGCTAATGTATTGGATGTCCTAAATTAATTAGTCCAGGCGCAGCACGACGAGTCATTCGGCGGTACGTAATTGGTCTGACCGTCGCCCGGCTCGGCGGGTCGATGCCGAGTGTCGTAAATTGGTCTGAGCGCGTGGCTGGGCGGCAAATTCGAGCAGGTGCCTGGAGCATTGACGCACTCGAATGTATCACGGACCTTTTTGCCAGCGTCCGTGCCACGCCGCGCCGCGCCTGTATGATTTTACCTGTCCAGCAGTTACTGACCAGGTTTGAAGGTATCTGTGCGGACAACCTACCAATTAGAGTAGGGAATCATGCCTCTCCTTCGCAACGAAGAAATGCAAGCATGCTCAAGGTGCACTGACTCTTTCTTTATCTTTCCTCTACGTAAGATCCCTACGTACGAGACGAAAAACCCCCTGTGAAGAAAAACGACAGGGGCACTTCCGCTTGAATTGCGATGCGCACAATGGAGAACCGAGAAAANTGGCGATGCCGGGCGGTCACCGTCGACCATGCGACCCAGAGCC